CTTCACCCTCCTGTCAAGGAATCGTAGAGAGCCAGAAGGTCCCCCCTGAGTCTCCTTTTCTCCAGGCTGAGAAACCCCGACTCCCTCAGCCACTCCTGGTGCCCCAGAACCTTCCCCAGCACCATTACAAGACAAAGCAGCAAATAAAACATTGTCTGTACTTTCAGAGTGCATTTCAAAATCCTGTGGATCAAAAACAAAAAGAAACCCAACAAAGAAACCCAAGGAAGACCCAAAAAGAAACCCAACAGGAAGAGCTGTTGGAAGAAACCTCTCTGCAGCCATCTCTGCCCCTGCTCCAGGCCAGAAAGAATTTTCAGGGTATGTGGGAAGGTACCTGGTGCAGAAACAGGGATCAGGGCTGAGCCCCTCACAGGTCCCTCAGGGTCCCAGTGCTGAGGAGTAAGTTGGTCCCCACTGAGGCAGCAGCCCCTCAGCTGGTGTTTTCATGCCCACCCAGCTGGAGCAGAGGGATGACAAGCTGTTCATGCAAACAGCAGCAGGTCTCTTTTGACATTAGGCAGCCACAAGACTAAATAATCCTTTCAGTGCCAGGCTCTTCCAGCCCAGCTCTTTAGTCATCAGTTGAAGCTTGAAATAAGTCTCTGAGTGCTTCCTTCCAGCCTGCACTGGGTCTCCTGCCCACCTGTGTATGTGCCTTGCCAGCTTGGATTTGAGAGAACCAACTGGGACTGTAGTCCTTGGTTTTCCAACCCTGTCCATTCATTGAATTATAGAATCCCAGACTGGTTTGGGTTGGAAAGGACCTTAAAGCTCATCAGTTCCACCCCCGTTCCCTGGGCAGGGACACCTTCCACTAGCCCAGGTCGTTCCTTCTCCTTTGCCAAGTGACACAGCTGGTGCCATATGGAAATGAGTTTCTCTGCTGAGAAACAGCTTTGTAGAAGTAGCACAAGGCAGTTCTGTGCTTGTTACCTGTCCTTAATGCTCCTCTTGGCTTTGAAGGCACAAATGGATGCTTTTGAAGTAATTTTCAGTGATAGCAAATGAGCTTCATTTGCATCCAGAAAGGGCCCATCCAGGACTACGGAAAGAGGGGGGTTGCACATCACTGGCGGTGAGAAAGGCCAGACAAGACCCTCTAATTAGATCTGAACTGCAGAGGTGGGCACTGTCGTGACCTTTATCACATACAGGCCCCACACAGCCCAGAGACCTCGCTGGCCACGTCTTTCCATCTGCATTCAAAGCCCCCCCAGGATCTCCTTTCCTCCATCTCTCTTCATCATTTGTTTTTCCATTCATTCCCTCCCAGCAGGACGCTGCATTATTTCAGAAGCCATCAAAACTGATTTTCAGCTCTCCTAGGGAGAGTCTCTCAGTGCCTGGCCCTGCTTTGCTGATGACAGCTCTTGCATAAGCAGCTCCTGATGGGTAGTAATTAATTAGTCTCACACAGACAATTCTCTTTTCTTTTGTTTGGGATCATTAGTGAACAGAATGGCACCTGCCAAAACCTCCCAGTTTTCCATCCACAAGGATTCTGTGTCTTTCCAGTTTGGCTCTTCTTGAAAGGCAGCTATTTTTTGGTCCTTTTGGTGTTACTGGGGCTGGGTGCCAGCACTGCAGAGCTTTGCTGTGAGAGCCACAGCGCTGCCACCATGTCCTTGTCAACTGCAGCATCTGGGCACTGGGTCAGCACTGAAATCCCAGAGTTTGATTGCGGCACGTTGGAAAAATCTGGATGCACGCCACGGCCTATGAACTTAATTCAAACCTTGATAAAATATTGCTTTCCCAGCAGAAGGAGGACTGGAAGAATGGGATCCTTCCTCTTACAGAAATTCCCACCAGAAACCTGCATTTTAATTATCTTTTCTGCAACACAGAACACATAATGTGGAACATCCACAGCAAAATCACAGGGTAATGACTTGAAGGATGTATCACTCACTTCCATGCTTTAAAATTATGGAATCTTGGGTTGGAAGGGATCTTAAAGGTCATCTAGTTCCAACTCCCTGACATAAAAGCAGTTTTGTGTTATTATCATAAAACCCTGACTGAGGGGACACACTGAGAGTTAATGGAGAGCAACAGCAAGTGAGTCCCTGTGTCCCAAAGAGAAGTAGGGATAACTTGTTAGTGATGGTGGTGGTTCACTGCAGTAAAATTACAATAAAGTGGGATAATAAAAGCAACTGTTTTGTATATTATATTATTACTTAATAATATTTGAGTATCATAATATTTGCATATATGTATTCAAATAACTATAGAAACTCCCTCCAGAAGTGCATCATACTGAAGTATTTATTACAGACCACCTTAGCAGTTTCCAAACATTAATACTCTTTCCCCAGCACACTAATTTCTGAGTTTGATCAGGTTTTTTTTTATAGGACACACAAAAGGAGTGTGTCCTGTTCCTGCCTCCCCATCCCCAGCTATCCATTGGCTTCCCAGTTCCAAGCAGGTTCCCCAGGAGCTGGTCAGGGTGAGCCCAGCAGTGGGTGATGCAGAGGGGGGAGGCAGGTGAGGATTTCAGGCCTTGCTCATGGAGGTGTCATGGAGATGGTGGCTATAAAAAAAAATACCTAAAGGGGTAATTTTCTTACTTCTGTGTTTATTTAAACACCAAAAAAAAACCCCACCATCCCACACCAACCCACCTGGGTATTCCTTGGAAAAAACCCAAACTTTCCATGTGTTCACTGCTCACCTCCATTGATCTCTCTCTCCATCCAGTGTCCAGCTGCAAAGCCCACTTGCATCACAGGACTTTTCTCATGTGTCCCAAAATAAGTGATCCATTGATCCTTTACATTTCCCAGGGCAGAGGTGGCACCCAGGCTGGCCATGCCTGGCCTGTCTCCCAGGCTCTGCAGTGCCTAGAGGGATGAATAAAGAGTGGGGACATGGGGGCTCCTTCCCCATGAGCAGGGAAGGGGAGATGGGGACGACCCATCCCGTGGGACTTGGTGGCTTTTCAGGGCACTCAAAGGCTTTGTGTTGCCACTTCAGTCCCTGAACTGTGACTGTGGGCAGCAGGAGCTGCTCACAGTGATGCCTCAGCTCACTCCGAATAACAGGGACACCTTGCAGTGTCTCAGCACGGGAGTATCCCGCTCAAATTCAGGAGGGAAATGCCAAGCCCGGAGCCGACTCCATGCGGTTCGTGCTGTGCCAGCAGCACCAATGGAGGAGGGTCTGGGCAGGAAATCTGCTCTTCCATCAGTTAGTGCTGCACCTGCACACATGGACACAGCAGGACCAGGTGTGTGTGCAACAAATGAGCCAGATCAGAGAATTCCAGAGTCATTTCGGCTGGAAAAGACCCTTAAGATCATCCAGCCAAGCAAAAGCACGGACACCTGCCCCTGATCCTCTGAGCTCTCCCTGTGCCCGGTTGCACAGTGTGGGGCACTGCAGGATAACAGGATCTCACACTTCCAGAGCCAGCTGAGAAAAATGTGTATCAGGCAGCAGCTCTGGGTTCCTCAGGTCCAGCCCTGTAAAGTAAAACTCTAAGGGTTTTCCCAAATTAACAAAAAAACATGTTGATGAGCAAGTTTTCCAGTGGGAAACCCTGGGGCAGGACCTGCTCCCACACCAGGTGACAGCTCACTGTGACAGGCAAACGCCTGCTCACCAGTGACAGCCACTGACAGAGGAGACCCCATCAGACCAGGGGTGAAGATGAAGGGCATCAGCTGAAACTCATTTTGTCCCCAGCAACCCTGTTCCTCCGATGCAGATCCCAGCATGACCCTGTTCCCTACTTTCTCCCTGTTTCTTGGCAGGGACTTCCCAGGTCTCCTGCCAAGAGAGGCAGCGAGCACTGACTCCCGGCTCTGTTCCACTCCAGTTTCAAGGACAGCTCCTGCTACAGAGCTCCTTTCAGCTCCTTCCTCTGTCCCTTGGGCCCCATGGACAGTTGTTTTGAAATGAGTGAGAGCTTCTATTCTGACTACAACAAAAATCACCTTACCTTCCAAAACCACCTTTGCCCAGGCACTGCACCTTCCCATCTCTGTCTCTCCCACGATATTTTGCTCCTGCCTCAAACACGTGTAGTGGCTGCATTGTGGCAGAAGGAGCTGGCTGGAAACATTGAATAAACCCCTGAGATCCAGCACAGCACAGCAAGGACTCAGCTGTGTTATACAAATAAACTGACCTGAAGTTGAGGGGAAAAAATAATGGTGGAAAATAACAAGATAACTTGTCCCAGCTCCTAATTTCCTCTCCCAAAGGCAGCTGCTGCCTGCAGGAGCGGCCGGAGCTGAAGCTGTAACTGGAGCCAGGGCAAGGCAGACACAGCAGATGGTGGGTTCAGAATATGCAGATTTTGGCTTTATATGTGAGCAGAGAGAGGTGAAGAGAGGAATCGAATGTCCGTTTGATCCGGATGAAAATGCCAGACTGAGAAGCAGTTACAGGAATTATTTATGGGATAAACTGGTACAGCTGTGGCCTCAGCTGTGGGTCAGGACCTGGGTTCACCTGCATGACCAGGAACCCCAGGAAGGGATTCTGTCACTTGGTTCTACACTAATTACACTGAAAATCTCTTTTTGCTGAAGCAGAAGAGACCAGCTCACATTTGCTGTATTTCTGACATCCACAGCAGAATTTCTGTAGAGCAGATGAATTTGTTTTCCTAAGGAGCAACACTTGGTCTGGCCATTTGGAAAAAACAAGGGATGGCAGTGGGAGGACAGGCTGGACTCCCAAAGGTGCTGATACCACCATCCATTGAGGGAAGACCCCGTGCACTTCTCCTAAAAGAGCAATTCCTGAGCACAGCTGGAGGCACAGTCCTGCATGACAGGGACAGAAGGTTAACTCCTGCATTTTCCCACATTCCAGGAAAGCCTTCCCTGGTTCCCCCACCTGATCCTTCCCATGGTTAATGCTACTCCTGTCCTTACAGAGTTACTGGGTAAGGACTGTGTGCGCTAAAATCAATGTGAGCTTTTCATGTCCTGAGAAAGATGATCTTCAAACACAACTAAATTATTTTTCCAGACACTCACCTCCCACATCTTCACACTCCAGGGGATGTTGGATCTGGTGGACAAACCCCCTGGAGAGGCAGAATCCAACAGTCGAGCCCATTCCCAGGACCCTGGAGTTGTGCCACATCAAGTTTCCATGCCGGCAGGAGGGAATTCCTTCTCTCAGATAAATCCTAAGTCAGCATTCCCCTGGGTGTTGGTCACAGCTTTACCCCTGGAATGCTGCAGGAACCTGCAGGTTTGTCCCACAGCCTCCAATCACAGTGAAAGCGAGTTTTGGGGTCCTCAACAGAAAACATCTTTTAATCCCTTACCACACACAATATTTTTGAAACCAGAACATCAGATCTGCATCACAGTCAACATCAGAAACGAAGCAGCCCACAAGAGCTAGGTCAGCAGCTTGTCCAAAAAAACCAGCAGTTGGGTTTTGTGTTAAGCTGGTTTTAAATTCACACTCGCTTTGGTTTTCACTATTGTCGCTGGGTTTTGCCCTTTTGGTTTTGCCTCTGTTGAGTTTTACAGAGATTTAGCTTTGGAATACACAATAAATTCATCCTTCTTAGCTCCTCAAAATAGTTCTCTGAAAAGGCACATATACAAAAATACTTACCAACTATGAAGTAAAAAAACCAAACAACAGATTGGCTTGCAAATAGGTATGGGCTTTTTCACCTGTTTATCCCAGAAAATACAGCCAGAATGCAAGACCTGATTTTCCTCCCACCTGGAGCTTTCCCACTGAGTGGAGTAGGGCTGTGGAGGCAAACTGACTTCTCCAAGTCCATACAGACAGGTTAGCTCACACGAGATCAAAAATACAGGGTCCTTGGATCAAATTCCTGTCTTTTCTACTGCAGAATCTTAGGAAAGTGGTTGGGAGAGATGTCAGTTTTATGGTAGTACCATTTGTACTGGAATCTTGCGTTCAACAACAAAAGTGTGGATGTTTAACTTCCAAACATCAGTTTATCCAGGTAACACCCACAATTAATAGAAACTTAAGAATTTTTATTCTCTTCCTCTTCTTGAGGCTTTCCTGAGCCTTTCACTGCTTGACCCCTTCCTTCCAACCACATCCAGCTCAACTTGGTGTCACAAGTCATTCCCAGTGAAATGACACATTCAAGCTTTTCCCCAACAAAACTACCTCCCATATAAATATTTCAGTCTACATATTAGATCACTCCTTGCTCCCTCATCCTTGGGGTCCCCAGGTGAACCCTAAAAGGAGAATAAGCTCTTTGAATGCAGTTTGAGGAGACGCTTCACTCCTAAACAGAGAGATGCGTGCATGGGTCTGTGCTGCCAATACACGTGCTCTCCCCAGGGGAAAACCTGGACAACAAGAAATGGAGAGAAGCCCAAGGCTACAGAACTGGATGGAACCCACACCAGGACAAAGGGACAGTCAGTGACTGCACAAGAAAGGCACTGGGTTCATTTGGTGGATGGTGTTGAATCCTTCTGAGCCTTGAGGAGTGTTTGGGAATCTCCCAAAGACTCTCACCTCAATGTCTACAGCACCCAATCTGATTTCAAGTCCAATTCTTCACTGGAGTTCTTAGACATAACACCTCTAACAGGCACCAGCAATAGGTAACATGGTACCTGAGGTAACCTGGACAATCAGATCTCTAAAGGAAGGTCTCACATTTGAAAATTAGGTCAAGGAATGAAATTTTTTCCTACTAAAATCCTGGCATTTAAATATAGAACCCAGCTCCAAGAGAGAAGAGCTCCTGGAGGAAGTCAGGAGAGGGAAAAACAGGGAAATGCATCAACACCTAAAAAACCACTAGCAGTCTCAAATTATGGTGTGATGACAGCAGAGTTTTTCTCTGTGGCCTCCTTTCCCTTGGCAGCAGCCATCCCAAACTGTGGCACATATGGCACCATGGCTTTGGGCTTGAGGCTACTTTGGATAAACCCATGGACATCCATCGGCGTGTGCTGGAGAACTCCTGTGTCTGCGAGCAGATCCTTTGTATGGAACTGACACAGCATCTCAGAGTTTTCTGTTAGAAAAATACCGTTTTCTCTTTTTTCCAATGGTGTTATCCCAAGGTAACACAGGCTCCGCTCAGGACTGTCCGTGAAAGCATCGTCGTGATCGGAAGGCTCTGAAAATCCCTCTGAAGAGATAAGGGACAGGGTTTTGCTGGGTTGCCTGCCTGGTGAGCCAGGGAACACCAAAAACACCCCACTTCCCACCTCCCAAGTGCTACTGGAGAAGGCACGTGAAACTGCAGAATCTTCTGCTAAGAAGCATTGACCAAAACAACTCCTTGGATTCATTTTCCGCTCACAAAGCCCATCGGATCGGGAGTTGCCAATGACAGTAGCGTATTTGAGGTCGATTCCTCCACTGCCCTGCACCTCCTGGGAGCTCTGGGAGGAGCTGCTGCTGTTGAAGTGGCTGCTCAAGCAAGCAGAGTCACGTTCAGAGTCTTGGGGGTTTGGAAATGTGGAAGCAAGTCCTAAAAAATCTTGTGTGTCTTCTTTTTCCGAGGCTTTGGTGACACTGATGTCTTCCAGCACTATCTCTGCATCCAGGAGAGGTTCAAATGAGGTGGCTTCAGGGTGCTTGGTAAAAAGATGCTCAAAAGTTTCAGGCTGGAAGAAAAGAGATATTTTGATGCTCATCTCTTGCTTAAAAGCTTTATTGCAGTATCAAGGTACTGATTTTATGGATCACAAATCCAAACACCTGAGTGCATTCCCGGGGCATTCTCAGGACCTTGGAGTTTTGGCACATCAAGTTCCCACATTGTTTTTCAAGAGCATATAGTTGGAAGTCCTCTACAATATATTTCCTCAGCAGATTTGATAAATTATATGGCAGCTGAAGTAATTTTCCCTGCTAGGATTGTATTATTCAGGGTCAAATTCAGCCTGTCCATAGTATTTTTGGAACATCTCCATCTAAGCAGCAGCTCTATGTTTTGGGTGAAGAGAAACACCTTTGCTTGGGAGAAATACAGGATTTACTACTACCTAATATAGGTGTGTGTACAGCAGGATGAACTGACAGCAACACCAGCACTCTAAGAGCTACAAAGGAAAACTCACTTGAAAAACATGTATTTCCTAATGAATTCAGGACAAAAAAGACAAAAACCAGGTTTTATGTATAACAACAAACCATGTTTTACAGCAGGGAAGCTGCCAAAACAATGAGGAACATGTCAAAATACTCAGAGGAGTGTTCAATTATAGCAAAGAGTGTACAACTCGTGTGTCTTGGGCTTCCAGTCACTCCAAACTCACTGTCAGTGTTGCCTCGGCCCTCGCATGACAGGACTGATTTCTTGTGACTTCAGTACTTGTCCCACACAAGTCCATCACCAAAATTAACAGGAAGCTTTTGAACAACCAGAAAACCTTGTGTCCCCCTCATACACCTGCTCGCCTAAGGCAGGTGGTTTATCCTGAACACAGATGTTTATATCCCTTCCCTCATCCCAGCCCCCGGGATCTGCTCTCTGGGCACCTCAGCAAACACAGATAGAGTTGCCCACAGAGATTAAACCCACCACATCCAAGGACCAGGGGTGTTGTGTGGCAAAGGGCACCATCTGTCAGCTCTGACACATCACTCATTAAAGCCTGTCAGATATTTATCAAATACAATGCATAATCCAGTGTCCTGGGAAATGGAATCCTCTGGAGTACCAGCCAGGACACAGCTGGATTTCCAGATGCATGTATGGTGTGAGCTAGGCACAAACTGCATTAAACAACAGGCAAAGGAGCTCCATAAAACTCAGGAGAAAAGTCAGCCTCAGGTCACCAGCTCCCAGATTTTGCTGACCAGATGGAACTAGATCCAAACCCACAGGGAAGCTCAAGCATGGCCCTAAGATGCTCTTTTGGAATTACCAGACCTAAATTTGGATTACTGTCTTGATGATGATACTCTGGGACCAGGAGAAACTTTGTTTGCTGATACAAACTAAGGTGCATAAATGTACCCATGGGATTCTACAACTGATTCACTAATTGCTGTAAAATTTAAACATTCAAAAGAGGTCTTGGGGTCTGGTCCTGGCACTTTTCCAGCTCTCAGCTCTCTGTATTGCTGACTCCAAAGGCTCCAAGTTCTTCCTTCAGAGGTTAAGCAGGGTCTGGCCTAACCCACAGGTAGAGCCCAGTCCTGAACTCACAGCAGCCAGAACTCCTGGGCTGGGGGAAGCAGCATGACCAGGGAATACACACCTGCTGAAAATTAACTCCTTGTGCCCACGAGCAATTCTTGGGGTTTGGAACATCCTCCCAAAGCAGCTTCTTCATTCTGAAATGTCAGGTAAATGCTGGAGTTGGTACATCATAGGGGCTGTACTGTACAGAAAAGGAATCTCTGCAATTTTATTTATCCAGAGCACTATGACCATGAAACATTCATTTTAGATATTATAGATGGCTGAAATTTAATGCAAAATATAAAGAAATAAAGAAGTGACATACCAGGTGGCAGTTTTCCAAATTATCAAAGGTACAGACAGTCTGTGCTGGATGACCCCAACCCACCAGTGCCTGAAGGGACTCCAAGAGAGCTGGAGAGAGACTTTGGGCAAAGGCCTGGAGGGACAGGACAAGGGGGAATGGCTTCACACTGCCACAGGGCAGGGTTAGATGGGATAGTGGGAAGGAATTCTTGGCTGTGAGGGTGGGGAGGCCCTGGCATAGGTTGCCCAGAGAAGCTGTGGCTGCCCCATCCCTGGAAGTGTCCAAGGCCAGGTTGGATGGGGCTTGGAGCAACCTGGGACAGTGGAAGGTGTCCCTGCCCATGGTAGGGGATGGAACTGGATGAGCTTTAATGTTCCTTCCAACCCAAACCAGTCTGGGATTCTGTGAAACCAGTTCAGCAGACTGGGACCAGTGAAGCTGCACCATCTGGGACTTCTAGATGACAACAAAAAACATACCTTTGGTGTGAAACCAGCAACACTCCCAGCAACAAAACAGAGGTTGAAATAACTATTGGCAGAACCACGGAGAGGCTGCCACTATTCTCATTTTCAAATCCACCTGGAAATAAAGGAGTTCAGATAATAATGCAGAAAAATAATTTGTCTGTGAACAAATAGTTTGCAACAGGGAAATAACACACAGTAGAAACAACTGCTTAAATGGAAAATAGCCTTGATAAACAGTGTCATTGCAAATCAACAAACCTTTCCCTTGAGAATAAATAGACAAAAAGGAAGGAATTATTTAAAATAGGAATTTAGTCTCTCACTGAACTCATCCCATAGAGTTTTCAAATTAAAGCTACTGAAGTCTGTTTGTAGTCACATTACAATTGCTTCATTACTGACATTTTTTTCTGTTAAGACAGAGACTTTTGCATTTAAAGGTCACTTTTACAAGCTCCTATTTCATAAAAGACAAGGACAAAGATCCTGTCAGTCACCTTTGCTAAACTGATCCGTTGCTCTGGCTCTGCCAACTCCTCCAGCAAACACAGGGTACAGGCTGAACTGGTACTTCTCAATCAGAATAAAGTAATCTGGAAAGAGGAAATCAGACATTTGAATCCAAAATATTATCCAACTTTTAGACAATTCCCTCCACAGAGGCTCTGGTCACAGTTCAGAGTTCAGATCAACCCAGAGAAGGCAATAAGGGAAATCATCCTTTATAGATCCCTACTTTAATATCACAAGATTAAAACTATTAATCCATCCTGGATAATCCAGCATTATTCTGTCATGGAATTAACGTCTTCATGGAGCTACTGTAAAAACTTCTAAGGTTAAAGCCAAAATGGAAATAAAAAGCACATACCACATTAATTAGCTTCTGTGCTCAATATTTCAGAACTAATGTTATTGTATTGCCACAAAACGAACACACTCCTGAGCCTCACTCTGTTAACCTGATTATTAAAACAGTCAATCCCCTAATGATCATCAAAAATTTGTCTATTGGTCCTTACCATGAAAGACATCAGAAATAAAAATAGGACTCCAAAAGCTCAGCAAAATAACATATTATGTGTTATATTTTCAAGTGCACACTCACCATAAATGTAATATTTACTCATATTTGGAGGAACTCGCACCCATTTTGTCTCCTCTTCTTTGTTAAGGTTCTTCCACTCAATAACAAAGGATGTTATCATATAGATTTGGGGTGAGAGAGTCCAGACCACAATGACACAGGTGCTGTTCACGGGGTAAGCGCTCAGCGACCGCACGGCATCCACTGAGGAACAGGGGGAACAGCCACGATCAACATCCCATAAACTATACAGGACTGATAATTTTCAGCACTTGAACACTTGTTTAATTATCTCCTACCAAATAAAGCCTGATCTTCAGTTGACATCAGCAGAGATGTTCCTCTCTAAGCTCAGTTTACACCAACCAGTCCCAAATGCTAAATAGATCAAGTTTCTTACAGACATCAAATATCCCAATTCTCATGTGCACCTCCTTATTTATCCTTAACCAAAAATTATCAGCAAATACTGAACTGTCAGGAATAAACACAGCAGAGTGCAGCCAAAACCATGAATTGCTACTCAGGAAGTCAAGCCAAACCTCTGAGAACTCTGCACCCTGGCAGTCCATCAGGTGAGCAGCCAGACACACAACCACATTTCATTTTGGAAACAACAACACATTCCCCAGCAGGAATGTTGGGTGTTCCCAAGACAAAGTAGATGAAAGATTAGTTCTACAGTAGGATTTCATTTTTCTTTGATTAATTACTTCATATTCTGTTAGGAGGGAAGTCAGCCCAGTGACAGACAACTCTTTTCCCAACCCAAAGATCATTAGGATTTTCATACAATGGAAATTTCAGTTTTCAAATAGCTCTCTTGGTGCTGAATGTATCCCCATAAAGCATTTCTTATTCTAACAGAGGGAATTTTATTACAAAGAAAGAGCATTACAAGGATACTTTGTGATTCCCAAAATGGCTGTTCATCGCTGTTCTTACCTGTGCTCATTTGCTGTGAGAGAGTTAAATTAAAATTAACTGAAGAAACTCCAATAGAATTCATGGCTAAAACTGTGATGGTGTGAGTGTGCTCCGTCCATGGAAAAGACCAGGTGGTGCCATGATCAACATATTCCACCCAGGAGGTGTTCCCTGGTGTCTGGTGCTTTATGATGTATCGGCTCACGCTGCACAACGAGTGGTTCTTCATCAGTGGCTGTCACAAAAATGGGCATTAATTCATTCCCCTGGCTCTGATTTCCAAAGCAAGTGTTATTTGGGCAGTGCCAATTTTAAGAAAATATGACCCAATATATATATATTCTGTAGCCTGGCTCCTATCCTTTTAGCCAAGGCACTGGAGTCCACGTAAAGATTTAATTCCTTGTGCCTCTCAGAGAGTTGACACTTAATTCTGTCTCTTCCCAGAACAAGGAAAGACAAACTTTTAGATTCCTATAGTAATTCACTGTTTCACACATTTTTTAGGGTTCAAAACCCAGAGCAGCCAACTGCACACAACATGGGCAAACAGGAGTGAGCAGGCACTGAGGGACTTTGTCCTGCATCACTCTTTAAAAGCCAAGAAGGAAAAACCACCTCCAACCGCATCCCAGTATTATAACCAGTATTCACCAGGATTAGCCAAGCAAGAGGCAGATCCCAAGTCCCACAAGCAATGACTGCCTAAGTTTGCCTCACAGGGAAGCATGTGGTTGTCAGACTCCCTCTTTGGCATTTCTTTCCATTTTTTGGATGAAAATTAAAGACTGAAATGTGGCTGCTCTCACCTTCCACACGAGCGTAACGTTCTTCTGCCTCCTCGCTGGATCTTCGGTAACGATTCTCCAAAATTCAGGGCCTTGCAAGGGAGCTGCAAAATGACAGTTTTGAAGAACAGTGTCACTCCTCAGTCTGGAAAACACTGGCCCAGATCTCAAAGTGCCCCTGGCAGGACACAGACCTCTGATGTCCTGTACAAGTGTTTGGGCTGGTCTGCTCCAGTCGCTCCAGTACCCGGATCCATCCAGCTCCCTGCACCGCATCTGGACAACGTACTCCACACAGAGTTGCTCAACTTCTATCACAGCTGAGCTGCCTGGGGTGTTTGAGACTTCACAGACCTGTGACAGAAGGTTAAAAAAATGTAAAATAAAAGCAAAAGTCTATTTAGGCAGCTCTTGGAGTCAAAATCCCTGAAAATTAATCCAATGAGAAAGTGGGATAATCAGTAATATTCCTTTGCTAGATACTGCAAATGATTATGCCTCTGATTGCTTCCACGCCATATATTCCACATAAACCAGCTACACACTAAATGACAACACTGCAGTGATTCCTGCTCCAATTCACACAAAAAAAGACAGTACCTCCCATGGAATCTCTTCCCTGTTCACTGCATACCGGATCTGGAATTTCAGATCACTGTTTGTAAACACAGGGTTTGTCCAGCTCACGTTCAGCAGCCCCACATTCCTGGTGAGTTCTGCTCTGATATTGGAAGGGGGAAGCGGCTTCACTGGAAAATTGGAAGAGAAAAAAAATGGCTGTAATATCTGCACTGACATTTCTCATTAAATCCAATCATCATGGATTACTTTCTCCTCATCCTGGGGGTAGCAGGTAACATGTTGTGGCCTCTGCAATTCCAAGGAAAGTAGGACTGTGCTGCAAACATATAATCCATGGGCACGTTTCCCTGTGTTTCATTTTAATTTAAAGCACAACAAGTTATTTTGGTGCTGGCATTCAGTACCTGCTCTGGGACAAACAGCTAAAGATGTTCACATTTGTGTCTAAAAAATACCCAATGAATGCTCTGAGTCACAGAACAGATTATAAAGTGTGATTTGCACATTTTTGAGTTTTTGAAAACACTCAAACACTGCTCCTGCCCTTTGATTTATACAAATTTAAGTGCTGTGTGTGTCACAAAAGAAATTTTGCATAAGTATGAAAGAGCATGAACAGTCCCCATGATCTTAAATAAATATATAACTGTGTAAATAACACATACAGTGCCCTACTTATCAAAATAGAAACTAATTGAAGACATAGGAGGTATGAAAAGTTAGATAACCAAAAATTACCTAATTAAAAAATGAGCTGCCTTTTTCAATATAACACTTGTATTTTGTGTAGGGAAAAAACACATGCAAAACTGGATGTTTAATTTTACAGGTATTAGGTGCAGTTACAATCTGCTCCCATGCCAAGCAAAATGTACGGAAATAACATGTAATTCAAGACAATATCAAACTTTTTATGTTCTTTAAGTTATTTTAAATGCTGTGGAAAACTTTAACTACACCATCTAAGGACTGAAATCCAAAGTCACAAGTGAAAAGAGATGTGCATGAACCTCAACCTACCCACATCTGCTGGAATAACACAGACTGGGGAGGATTCAAGTGTTCCTAGGAAGTGCTTGAACTCTATCCACAGAGTATATCCAGATAAAAGGAAAATAGGCTGAAATGTGCACTCGTAGGAATGATTCTTCTGCAAATGGCATTCTTTCACCTCTGATTCTGGAGATGGGCTTGGAAAGTCAGAACAATAAATTTGGCTCCTTAAAAGAGAAAAAAACCCACATTCAGTTGATACATTGCAATTCTAAGCTGCTCATGGCAACAACAAAATAGAAGTCTGGAGGTAATTAAAACAAATAGTGTCACTGGAACCATCCTGGGGGTTTTGATGATTATTTGGGCAGATCTTGAATCTGCACTAAATGGCTAAATAGCACTGCAGTGTCACTCCTCAAAGCTTTGGCTCTTTGCCTGGAAAAAGCAGGACATGAAGGCTCTCCCCAGTGCAAAATGTTTTGATAGGAGACTAATGACAAGAAGAAACAGGTACGGCAAGAGCAGCTCCATAAACTCATCAATCATGTGATTTGAGGTGTTAGCAATAAACACAGCAAGGCAGATCTCCTGCCAAGAATTCACTCCAGTCAGGAATAACTTCCAAAATACCAACTGGAAATCAGGGGAAAGTTGCCACAAAGACCAGTCAGACATGTACAGTGAGGTCTCCAGGAGATGGAAATCCCATAAAATATCAGTTCTGGAGGCTGCTTTTAAAATACAGTTATCACATCTGGCAACAGAAGAGAGGAGACTGGCTTCTGGATAAAATGGGCCTGGATAACTTGTTGGAAATGGAAAGTTTTCAAATTTCTCCTAAGCTTGTGCACAGCTCAGAGGGTGTGGTGAGAGGGGCCAGAGAGGGTATTAGTTACTCAACAAACCACAAGAGTTACACTTGGTTGAATCTCTCCTCTTCCTGTCCAGTTTAATACTGATTAAAGCAGTGCCTTGTGCTTTGGAGGTTTAGCTTGGCATTCCCTGTTCTCCCAGAATGATCCTTTCGGAGCTGTTTCTGTTGGCAGCACTGACTGTAGAGGAAGGTGTAGTAACAACCCAAGCAAAACAAAACTCCAGCAGCCAAACCATCACACACATCACTGCAGGGCTGCATTTCAGCTGCAAACTCTAACAGCAGCAGTAACTCAGAAGATTTTTTTTTTTTATTTTCTCCTCTTTCAGATCTTACTATGAGCAAACAACAAGAAAAAAGAACAAAAAGAAGGATCACAGTAAGCACCAGCATTTGGGAAGGATTTGCAGGCAGTGTTAAAGTCACTCTTTGATCTAGCAGGAACACTAACAAATGTACAGATTATCACCTCCTACTAGAAAATAACATTTTTAGCTAGACCTGAACAGTGAAAAGGTGGGAATAAAAAACATGGCAAGAGCAGCATGGGTTTTATTCCAAGCTCCCTGCCCAGTAGTACACTCATTATAGTTGTGAAGACAGTTTAAACAAAACCTACCTTAGCAGTCAGCCAGTCACTAATCCTACCTGAAAAGCCTATATTTGAAATTTCAAGCATTCCAGTTATTTATTTAGTCCAGAAAACCCTGCGAAATATTCACCTTGGTACAGGATACTTCAAAATTTCAGTCTACCTCCAACAGAGAAGACAGTCTGGCTTTCCAAAGGATTAGGCCCTCAGTAGTTTGCCAAAATTTCTGCATATCCAGTCCAACAGAGCAGTAAGATTGGAGATTTTTTTCCTCAGGAAGGGTTGTCTGTCTGTCTGTCTTGTTTATATAAAGACTAAAGTGGTTCTAGGAAACTCTCAAGCTCAATTTATCAGTAACTCAAAGGGATTCTTTAGTTTCATAGTAAAACAATACTACCAGGAGCAATATTTGTGCAGATGAATGAAGATAAGGGTGATGGTACCATTGGTTTCATAATCAGGTTTGTATTTTGCAAACAATAATGTGTTTGCTCCACACAACATCCCAGTTCTCCTGCTCTGTCTAAAAGACAGACAAAATTAAACTATCTGAAAACAAAACATCAGCAAAACTGAGAACTCCCCATCCCTGAAAGTGTTCAAGGCCAGGTTGGATGGGGCTTGGAGCAACCTGGTCTAGAGGAAGGTGTCCCTGCCCATGGCAGGGGGTTGGAATGAGACAAGTTTTGAGGTCCCTTCCAACCCAAACCATTCTGGGATTCTAGGATTCTATGAATTGCTGTAGTCAAAGATGCAATATCCACTTCATGAACTAAGATTTGACTCTCTAAGTAAGATTTTTTCCATCTGGAATGAATTTATTTCATCCTATATAGAAAAAAAGATAACAGAATTATAGAAAAATCAAAGATTGAATGGAGACCTCAAGAGGTCCCAGGTCCTACATCCAACTCAGAGCAGGGTTAAATTCAAAGACAGATGGAGTTGCCCAGGGTCCCATCCAGTCAGGATCTGAGAGTCTCCAGGGACAGAGATTCCACAGCCCCCCAGGCCATTGCTCCAGTGCTCAGACACTCTGTGAATGGGTTTTATCCTTATTTCTTTACCATTTGTTAATATGAGCAACAAGAATAATTTTTATAACTGATCCAAGCAAACTACTTGAAGAGAGCCAGCTCCTAAAGTGCATCTACAGTTTTTAAAATGCTGAAAAACGCAAATAGTATGTATGTCACATACTCAGGTATCTATGGTTCCCTTCTGCACACACAGTTATACCTTTGGAGTTCCAGTTGGAAGAAATCCAACTTACAGAAACTGGAATTTTCTAATTGCATGTATTCATAATTCTTTGCTGGCATAATATTTTGAGCAATGCTTTCCTATCATAGAGAGAGAATTAAAAGCTCTACATACCTGTAGTATCTTAACTGCAAGGAACTCCCAGGGAGCAACGTGTTCAGGTTTGCAGACCAACTGCAAGTCATTTTAGTCAAGTATCCATCTGTTTCACAGGTAATATTAATATTCATATCTAATTAAAACACATTGAAAGCTTATTAATAAAGATACAATGGTTTAGACAAAAAAAAATGCTCAATAAAAGCTATTGGAGTTCAAATGGAAATATTCTGACCTTACTATTAAAATGCACCAAAAGGAGAATTTAAAATCCAGCTGGAATCTTACCTACTACATATAATTCAGCGTATCTAGGATGACATTCCCTACTTTGGTGACAACAGTACAATGTGTCATAGAAGAAACTTCCTCTAGGTTTGGTTGCTTTCAAGTTGAAAAGAGTAACTTTGCTTACGCGATCGCTCACAAGGGTATAAAGACTGGCTGGGATTTCTTCTGCTAAATTCAGCCACCAAACAACCTCCTGGGGCTCTACAATCTTGCTTTTGTTTTTATAGATGCAGTGAAATGAAACATTAGAACCAGCACTGGTCAGGATCTGAGGAGGGAAGTACAGGACTTCAGCTGCAGAAGAGGGAAGAAAGGGGAAAAAAAGCTGTTGAGATTAGAAACTGACCAAAAAGAAAACATAAAAGCTAGAAAATAGCAATTACAATTATTATTATCATCACCATTATTATTATTATCATTATTATTATCATTATCATTATCATCATCCAGTTGTATTTCTAACTTCTTAATCACTGTTAACAACTGCAATGCAGAGGAGCAGAAATTACCCTTGGACTGTCTCTCTCCATAACTGATGTTTGTAAATTCTGATAAAAATAAACTTTAATATCGCCAGGCAAACATGAGTGAAATGAGCAGAAAATCACTGGAGGGTGCAGTGGAAGCAACACAGAGCAGCACAAGGGAAACATAAGAAAATTAATCAATCTTTCCAGGAGTTGCTGCTCCTGCCCCTACCGAAGTCAGCAGATTAAAGTCTCAAAACCTTGTTTTACAATCTCAGCAGTGTAATTAACACCAAATGGTGGCAGCAGTACAAAAATTCACCCAGGCATAAAGACACTGAATTTCCCAAGGATGTAAAGATGCATAAGCTGAGCCTCCATCAGTCAGGGACTCAGGGGAGGTACAGGTGTTGAACACCTGCTGGAATGGAGCAGTTTGCCAAAGACCATCCCAAAGCCAGCATGAAAATCCTTAAAAGGTCAGGTTTACTTTCCACAGCTGAGGAATTTCCACTTCAGAGATTTGTAGAATTTCCCCAAAATACAGGCCTGCTCAGAGAGCAGAGCACACTTAGGATATTGTCACTGTCAAGGATTTTCATGTTAAATATAAATCAGAACATGAGGCTGGTCAACTGTAAAAAACCAGAACTCCCTGCATGAAGAAATTAACCCCTCTCTGCTGCCATCAGGTTGTCACACTGGGATTATTCTGCTGATGAGATGTATTTTTAATAGAATTACATATCCCATAAATGGGATTAATAAAAAATAATCTAACAGTAACTACTGCACCTCTTTTAAATCTGTATTTCTCAATACACTCATAAACCTTCTCTGAAAATTATCAGTATATACATATGTGAGAGAGAGAAAATGTGTATTCGCCCCTAAAAAATTCTCAAAGTTATATAGTTCTATACACAGACACATTTTTTTTAATGTATATATTTATATAAATGTAAATCCAAAACACTAATGGCCAGTTAGGCCTCTAGACCTAAAATCAGGCATCCTGTGTATCATGTTTATTTGCCTTAAGGGTCTGTGTATTTTCAGTTTTCCTGGGAAAAAGCTCCATTTCAAAAGTCTAATTCTTTCCTTAGTACTTGGTTTAAGCACACACATGACATGTTTAGCCACAGTAAGAGATATCCATGTAAGGGCTCGGGTAAAGCATTAGTTCTGGCATGGAATGGTTCAGAGGATTCTTGTGACAGCACAGGCCAAAACATCTCCAGTTAATCCTAAGCAAAGCATGGAAAAATCCAACAAAAAAAATCAGAAAGTCAGTTTATGCACAGCATTACACACCTAAATGGGTTGTTAAATGTACATTGAGCTGTGTTCTGGGTGTTCAGTTCAGCTACAAAGTGAGAAAAAGCATTAGAAGAAAAATCTTGTACTGAGTAGAGATTCAGCACTGTCTTTTGAAACTGCCTTTTGAAATGGAAAAACTCTTGGAAAAAGCTTTTCCTGCATCTGAACAGGTGCTGGGTGAGCAAGGCACAGACATGGAGGTGTCACGAGCTGCCACTGCAGTCTGCCCATGTTATCCAGAACTCCTAATGCAAGTCTGGCACAGAGAAAAGAGCTGAGCCTCAGGCAAAGCCAGGCATAAAGAGGAGCAGAAGGAGAAAGTGCTTCCACAGGATTTTTCAGCTCATAACACCCTCAAACTCATCCCACAAAACAAACAAACTGGGACATCTGTTCTGTTCCAAAAGACTACTCACTGCACATGACCTACCTCCCAAACTGAGATCATATGGTGTGCTCCAGTCACTCCAGAACCCCAGACCCTGGTGATTCCTGCACCTCACTTGAACCAAGTAAGAGGAATCAAGTAGGGTATTGTCAATGGCCAGTGAGGCTTCCAGAGCAACTTGAACCATCTGTTGGATTATCACAAGCCATTATTGTTGTATAATAAAACAGGAAAAGAGAAAGACACAGAGGGAGCCAAAATAATTAGTCTAGAGAGTAGTTTTTAGGTAGCAAGTTGGGTAAAAAAGCCTTCTTCTTTAAATTTACTATGAATTTGATTCTGGTAGAAGTTGCATAACTCTGTGGAAAACAAGTTATTTCATTATGGATTGCTAATTAATGGCTGCTTTTTATTCCAGAGCCAGCTGTGTGGTAGAAAAAGCAGCTCACTAATAAAATCTATAAATATTAAACATACACACATGTATCACAGAATTTGGGGGTTGCTGAAAGTAAAAGGCTTTGCCTTTAGACTTCACAGAATCTAGGATTTCATCCAAACAGAAAGACGGAAGTTTGTTGTAAGACCCAACAGGAAATGGGCCTTTCATCCCTGTGTAATGGCTCTTTATAGATGTAAAGTCCAGCTTTCCCAGTTCAGGGAAAGGCAATGTGCCACGCCCAGCTCCACCAGACCTGCCATGTTCCTCAACCCACCAGAGTTTCTACCCAAAGACAAGGAGGGTTGTGAGAAATCCTGGGCTCTGGGAGAGCCCCCTGATCTGCACTGCTTCATGGGAAAACCCTGGGAAATCCAAGAGCACGGAGCTGCCTCACCTGCCAAGTGCTGTGCCCTGGCTTTGCAGAGATCCTCACTTGGTACTGCAGAGGGTATGGCAGCAGCGCAGGCTCAGACCAGCACATCTTCACCTGACCTCCCTCTGTCATTTCCAGATGCAGGTTCAAAGGAGGTTCAGGCTTTACTGCAGACAAATTCATTGATAAGTTCAGCTCCAACCTCATTGCCTGTGACTGCTGGGTTTTACTGAGCCGAAACACTCTCTCACACCTTCTCTTTAAACTCAGTTTTCACAAGCTGCTCTACAGCTGCTATGTGGTGCTGATTTTGTGTAGTATCACTGGAAAAGCGTGCCCTGGCACTGTTATATAGCTGGTGATCACAAAATGCTGTTTCATTGAGTGTTTGCCTTAAATCTACATGAATTCCTTGCCTTGGGCCATGACTTTTCCCAGCAACCAAGCACTACCCTGCCTGGCTGAAAAGAGGGGATGGGTAAGAGAAGGATGGGAGAGCTGAGCAAATCAATTTGTTCCTCAGAAGACAGGAGATAATGTCCTCATACAAAGACTGTATACAAGGACTTTCTAAATATTCCACAGTGATTATGGTTCTGAAAGAAGGTCTCTAGAAGAGCTACCTTAGGGCAAAGTAAAATGGAGGGTTTGGAAATTTCCCATGAGGATGGAGAGAACTCTCTGGAGAGGGGAATGGATGGGCAATTGAGAATGATCACTAGGATTGTAGTCCCACTTCCTCAGACAAAGCCAAGAACCCCAGATCCTACTTCTATCTGTTTCTCAGACCTTTACAGATCATCAGTATTTTGGTTGGCCTTGTCCTCATTCACAGTTTCTCTGTTACAAAACATTGCAGGGCAAGCAGCAAGTGCAAAACTGAAGAGAAAACATTTCCAAAACATTGGGCAGTGGGGATGTGTTCCTTTCCAGTTCCATCTGCACTGGGTTTCCAGCTCTCTAAAGTGTCTCATATAAGCAATATTACTGGAATCTCACTCAGTTATACCACAAACCTGTTCTTATTTTCAGTATAAATTCACTCCACTAAGTCAGATCTTGTTTAATTATTACTTATAAACCATCTCAAAGCAATTAAATTCATGAAGCCCAGCAGGGAGTGATTTGGGAGGAGGCAGAGCTTCGAAAACCAAAGTCAGAGGCTTTTACATCACACTCTCACGAATCAGATCACACTTTCTGAACACAGATAATGATTTCTATTCTGCTGATGCTACTGCTCTACTATAAGCAAATAAAATACACATTACACAAGCATTCATAGTTTTACATTCAAAATAATTTTAATTGAGCTAAATCTTGGCAGAACATATACTAATATTATGCATTTTTAAAACATACTTCACTAAGCAGAACTAACTAATTATGTCATTTTAAATACTGGCAGACTCAAGTTTGAATTTTTAATTTTTTCCTGTAGCATAATTTAAAAGCAGCAGATGAAAAACGCAACCTCTCCTCTTCAAAACCAGCTTACCCAGAGACTTTGTACTGATCCTGTCTGCAAAGCACATCAGTTGGGAAGAAGTTTATAAAACTCATAAGTTTTTAAATTAATAACAAGTTTATAAAACTTCAGTTTCCCCCCCCCACAGCTGACAGACTCCTTGCCTTTATGGAATTCACCCAAATCTGCAGTAACTGGGCATATTTGGACAGCAACACATATCAAATTCATAATGTCAGTAGAGTTTAACTTGATCAAACACAGAGGAATGTTTTCCAACTTGGACAATGCTGGTGTTGAATGTGTAAGGAAGGGAAGCAGCAGGACAACAAAGCTGCTTGTGAAAAGAGGTGGGTTTATTTGTTAAGTAACTTTTGGAGCAGCTTTTTTCTCCCCTCAGTTTTTAAGTCCTCAGCTACATGGACAGAAAAGCTCCACCACAGCCCCACAAAGAGACACAGAGAGGCCCTGATTAGAAAGGAAAGAATTAGAAATAACAAGTACATTGACTGCCTGGCCTCTGCTCACTTTGGTTTGTACTGGAGCCCAGACAGGCATTAGGAGCTGAGAAATCCCAGAAAGCCTTTTCCTGTCCTGTCTGTGCCCTTCTTTTCCAGGAGAGACATCCTGCTGCTGTTGCCCATTAAGAACAATTGAAAATATAGGTCATACTCACCTATGTCAATGGGCTTGACTGACATCAAAGGTGACCACAGAGGTGTCACACCAACCAGCATCTTCAGCCACATGATGTAGGTGTGGTTGAGCCTCAGAGAGGGCACAAGACACTCACATGTGTCATCCTTAGTGCAGTCACACTGAGCAACCCTCACAGTCCCCTGGAGAGAGCTCGTGGACACATTTCCCAGAGACAGCTCTGAGCTACAAAGGGGAAAACAAACTATGAACCAAAACAGACCATGAACCAAAACAAACCAGTATTTTTTCTATATCTCAAGAGGTTTGTCCATCTGGATAAGGTTTATTTATAAAAAATAATATTAATTGATGAAAAAAGTAAAAAAGTAAAAATTGTAACTAATGGCTTTGACTTTGCCGCTTCTCCCTTTTGAAATGGTTTCCAAGTAAAGCAGTTAACAGGATTTCATTAAAAGTATTCCTAAGGCTTGGCTTTAAAGCAAATGTGTTACAACACTAGATGATACTCATAGTTTAGTCAGACTAGCTCCTGATTCCTGAAGCTCTCATTCCTAGATCCTTCTCAAGCACACAAAGTTAGTGGACTAAGTGGCAGCTCCCTGCACCCTCTCCCTTGAGATTATGTTCTAATTCCTCTTCATGAAGCACTGAAATAATATTGAAACAATTTCATATTCCTTCCAGCTTCTGCTACAATTAAACATTACAAGTAATAATATAATCATGGAATGGTTTGGGTGGGAAGGGACCTCAAAGCCCATCCAGTTCCACCCCCTGCATGAGCAGGGACATCTTCCACTAGACCAGGTTGCTCCAACCTGGCCTTGGACACTTCAGAGATGGGGCAGCCACAGCTTCTCTGGGCAACCTGTGCCAGGGCCTCACCACCCTCACAGCCAGGAATTCCTTCCCAATATCCCATCTAAACCTACTCTCCTTGGAACCAGCAGTTCCCAAAGTATTCTTTATCCTCATTTCTAATCCATAGATATTCTTCAGTCTCTTCCAAACACAGCTCCATGTTTATGGAGTCCTGCAGGTATTCAATGGCACAGGCCTCCCTAAGGTAGGGAATTTAAGAGTGTGAATAATTTGTGGCCAAACTTCTCACAGCAGCAAAGCCAAGACAAATCCTGACAGTTAAACCACCTTGGATTCTTTCCTGCTTTTGACTTTTCATCTTTAAAAAAAAAATAAGCTTCTGTTTTGAATTGTTCCAAAGTAATTTTGGAATAAATTCTGTACAGTAAGGGTTTTGTTTTACTAATTCAGAGAAAGAAACTGAAGTTCAGAGAAAAGAATCTTTCTGTACATTTTTTAAATAGTTTTATAGCTGGCATGACTCATTGGAACACTGGAATTCAGGGAGGGCAGACAACTAAAAGAAAGAACAAGATTTTCTGTGCTTTTTTTGGTTTTAGTCAATTTGCTATTTAGTACTTTTATTTGAGTGTAAAGCACGGGGGACTGGGCATGATTCACTGCTTCTCTTACCATTCTCTGCCCTACTTAAAAAGGAAAAGGTCAAAACAGAAGAATTATGGATTATGGGAAAAGCACATGCAAAGCACAGACTGGGCCTGCAGGAACCCCACCAGGGTCACTCCTGGCTCATCTTGAGTCAGAGCCTCATCCCCCCATCCTGCACTGACCAGCACACACACGGTGCATCTCCTTCGGTTTAGGATATTCTAAGGCTGGAAGCAAGGATTCTTAGCACCACTCTGCCCTCACAGCACTGTGTTCTGCAGTAACCACTCCACAAGTTATGCAAGTTCCTACGAAGATGTAGTTTATGTTTATTAATGTTCCAGCCAGCCAATACTGTCATTCCCAAAATCATTTTCAGCAGGGCTCACAGACTTTAGGACACAAGAATTATGCTGACGGCATCTGGCAGACACAGAGCTTTTAAATTACTTGGAATTATTTTGTTTTTATAGTTGTGGCTCCGCTTTTTTCTCCTGAATTTTCTTTCAAAGACTTTGCAGAATTTTCTTTTAAGTTTCCCTGCTTTCTACTGTTTCTCACTGATTTTATTAGTCTCAAAAAAGCCACAATCAATTCATAAGAATGTAGTCTTTTCATCAAACCACGTCTTTGATCTGATCTATCTGGAAACTGGTTACCACCACCCCACCCTCTAATTTTCCTAATCATTATTTCAATTTTTAACCATCAAAATGAACTTATTTGCACCCAAAAAGTAGTGTACAGGAGGAAAAATGGTAAAGAGTTTTTCTCCTTGTTGTGCCAGTGTCAGTGCTACTGACTCATCAACCCTCACAAGTTCAGGAGAGGTCAGTGCCCTCACACAGTAGAACGAGAGGAGAAATTTGAGGCAAACTTCAAACAAGTGAAAGGCAGCGTGACTTTCAGCTGGAAACATGGGACTAAAGCATAAGAAGGAGGAAAAAAATTAAATACTGCATGCCCTGAACCACAGAAATAATTAATACTGCAGCAAGGGCACGTGCCCAAGGCTTGCTTTTCTCCTCCACTCCAAACCCTGTCACAGATTTAGTCACTACCTTAACACCTCCTAAATATTTTATACTTTGGTGCACTATTCAACCCTACTTCAGAAGGTGATGTTACTTATGCTACATTAATCTGTGGCCCCATGGCAAACTTTTAGACTTTAAATGTCTTGAGTGAATTTCAATCATATTCTTGCAACTGGAAAAACGAACTGAAAATAAAAAGTCAAAACTATTTTAGGAAGAAATACATGAACTTCTACATCCCTCTAATTTCAGGAAAGGTACAACCCATGCAGGCAGCTATGAAATAAAGGTACTATTGTAATTCTGCTCTCAGTATTTCTATATACTGTCTGTGCAAGCATCACCTTTATTAGGAATCAATGGAGCTGTCCAGGGTTCAAGGACTTTCCATAAAAATATTCCAGTGTATTTGATACATAACAGCTCTAGCAAAATCCTTCTTTGAACAAGCTGCCCTGTTAAACTGCAGAACATCTGATGGCTGTTGAGCTCATGGGAGGATAAATCTGTAATGAAAGGTTGATATTCTTTGGCTGAAGAAGGCTCGGTGTATGACTGATGCACTCAACTAAGACACCAGTCTTGAGGCTAATTGGATGGTTTATCCTTCAAAAATATGGGAGTCTAGTCCCAGAACTAAAGGAGAGCCCCACAGGTACTTCAAATAAGTCAGAAATATGAATGCACTCTATACACCATCATCTGTTGAAAGGGCAAGGGATAAGAACATTCATCTGTGTCACTCCAAAGGGATCCCTAAGGGTAAGGCATTTCAGCTCATGGAATTAACCACTGGGGTTTACAACAGTCCTAGAAAGATCAATCACTTTTGGTAGACAATTAATCTAAATTATCTAATTTGGAATAATCTTTCCTCTCTCAAAGCCAAGCCAAGGGGAAGGTAAAGCTCCATCATCACCTTTGCTTGAGCCTCTCCCAGAACACGGCACTGGTTTGGGCAGAACAAAATACTTCTATTCCAATGATACCATTTACAAGCAGGAAGACTGTGGATGTGCAAACTAAGAGGGCATTTCTTTAATGCTGAAAAAGATAAAAGCTGGGAAGGACCCAAGCTTTTTTGTTGTGGATTCTTCTAGGTCATTATTTTTGTGCACTGCCTGTCCTGTATGTGAGAATTCTGGCTTGGTCTCCTGACTCCCAGGGAGAAACACATGCCAGGAATGCATATTTTTAAAACTGGGCATGTTTTCAAGGTATTTTGGCTCATGTGAATAAAATGTTAAGGTATCAGCAAGCCAACAGGGAAAGCTGTCACCTTACCAAAGTCTGAAATGCTTTACTAGCTGCTCTCCCAGCACACAGGGATCATAAAGGAAAAATATAAATACAGAATTTGGAGTGAAACAAGTTCTCTAATGTCAGGGACATTGCTCTGTATCTCACCTTTGCAGCAAAGAGGAATCAAACAGAGAAATGCCAGGAGGACTCTGGTGAGTCCTTAGGGCCTGCTCTCCTAAATTGCATGGCACTTACTGAATTCCCTTCATAACACAAAGAACCTCTTCATCCCAGCTGGAACTCCAATCTGTTGTTCATGGATGTTTGGCATACCAAAAAAATTCAGTACAGAGACTACTGCCCTGGGATCACTGGCAAAGATTATCCTATTGCAGTTGGGACTGGATGGAACAGAGGCAAAGTCAGATTTACTCCCATAAACACCCGTGTAATGGTATTTCAGAAATCAAAGTAATGAAGAACCAACTTAATCAAAATTTGATTTCAGCTTTAGAGTATTCTGTCAGCTAACCAACCATATTTATTCCTAGTTAATACATTTGCTTTCTACCCTGACTACAGGGATGATTTGTGGCAAGACATAGTTTGTTAAGTAAAAGATATCACCTGTAAATGCAACTAAATCAACTATTTAAGTTTATCCTACTTCCTAAAGAAATTAAGTGTCTGTGTTTATGTCATTCTTTCCAACCCATCAGTAATTCAGAAAAAACTGTGTGTTTCATGGAATCACGCAGATCTTTTTATAAACAAATCAGGTTATAACCAAAATATATATATTTGGTTTATAACCAAACCCACAGCCAGGATGATTCCATCTATCACCGTTCCAGAGAATATTTACCACAGTGACAGTTGCACAGGTGAGTGTCTCTCAGAGGCATTGCTGGGATTAGAGTAGCATTTGGCACTGTATTACATGTTAAGCACCATAATTACTTCAAGAGAGACAATATTATGGTCAACAGCAAATAAAAGGCAGAACCAAGAGGGCAGCCTTAAAGGTAAGCAATTGCAGCAGCAAAGAAACTTTAACAAATCAACACTGATTTCACTAAAGCATTTTAAGAAACACAGAAAACACAAAGGAGGAAGACTCTTTATTCCAATCATTTCTCATTTAAAGAAACCCAAATTTTCCATATTGTCTAAGGCTACTTTTAGAGAAGACAAAGGTACATAACATAATCTGCTTGCTAAAGTCAGGCTACCACTGTGCTGCAACTTGGAATGCTGATATTTTATAAAATGCTTTCAGATTTCCAATGTCAATAGTGCTAAATTTAACAGAGTCTGTACTTACCCAGCATATAAAAGATTAACCTTCAAGTCCTCTCTCAAGTACAAGCTCAAAACCCGCAGGTTACAAACTAACAGGTCCAGCTTGCCTCTAATCCAACATTCCATGTTCCAGTTTGAATCTAAACAAAAGAAAGGGATTACCCACTCCTGACCCATATTAAAACAAAATAAAACCACAATTGAAGAGCCAGGATAAAATTCACTCACAAAGAGAGGACAAGTAACAGATATTCATGAGGGTGAGGTTGCACCACAAATGTGCAAATGTTTATGAATAATCTGTATTGAATCAGATGCCCTTTGACACTTGCAAGGCTCCCAGTCTGCAGTACTGCTGCACTGGCATTATTAAAGAAGGACTGTTTTTTACCTGGCTTTATGGACAAGGCTGCAGGGTGGAGAAAATGAAGCTGCTGCTGCTGGTTGCTGTGTTGCTGCTGTGAAGGGGTACAGCTCTCTGTGGCTGTGCTGGGGGTTTGTGCACATACAACTGCAACACGTGGGACGCACTTTAACAGAGAGTCTTTTGTTCCATGGGGAAGTTCTTGGAAAATGAAATTCTACTCTACTGAGCTCAATGAGATTCCTGCAGGCCAGTATGTTCCTCAGAGACTGGGGTTTACAGGAGAAAAACAGCCTTGGAAAAAATAATTCTAATCCATGTACGGATATTTACTAATGCATCACAATTCATGTAGAAATTATGCCATTTGCTCTCCATCTCCCCCACCTCCTAAAGGAGTTTAAAGCCCATATCCACAAAAAATATATAAAATATTTCTCATAATGTGTACACTCCTTTGAAGTTCTGGGCTTACATCCTCATATGCAGTGCTACATATTTTATTCAGAACTCCCCTAGAAAGGCAGCTAACTTTTTTTTCCCCTTTGAAACTGTGCTCTACAATTTCCTTCATCTTCCACTACAGACCTCTGTGAGGAAGTATTTTACCACACTGTGTTGTGTGCCCAGGATAAAAATGAATCCCCACTAATACAACCTACCCCTCTCCTCCCAAACAACAAAAAAACCCAACCTGTTTTTGAAGAAGTAACTTCTTCTGCCCTTGAATGCTAAACCCACCTATTTCTTGAGAAGCAGAGATATTTATTTCTGAAGGAATAAACTTCCTTGCCTGCAGGCTTGCTCTGTACAAAGAACAATCAATGTTGTTGTCACTCCAAAGGCAACACAGAAAACTTTCTTCATTCATTAGAGGCTTGATTTCAGATGTCCTACGATGGTCTCTCCTCAAACCAGACCAACTCTCAACTCTGGCAGAGAAAGGGCTCAAAGCTGTCTCATTCAGCAGCACACAGGGTAATGTAAAGTTCCTGGGAGGAATTGGATGGACCATACAATGGGCAACTGCCATTTGAAGAAAGTCTGCAAATATAAAGGCAAAGATATTGGAAATAAATGAAAAAGTTGATCTTGTCAGTGAAAAGGGAGCGGTTGATGTTATACAGAAACACACTCACAACATGAAAATCAGGCTGTTTCCAGGGGCTTTTCTATGAGTTGCAGACACAATTATTAAAAACATCCCCTCTGAACTGGTGCCACAGCTGACAGATGTCAGCGTTTCTGCTCAAACTCACAACACCTAAACTTTGAATTTCTCAGCCTCTTGAAATAAGGCCAAGATTGTAGGGGAAGAACCTCTTTGGGTTAAAATGGTTTAAAATAATCCAAAACACAGTGAATCCTATACCCAAGTTCACACACTTTACAGGTGTGAGTCTCATCTCCCCTGCAGTGCTGGAACACATTCACTCCAGCTCCTATAACACAGCTCCATTTCTGTAGGAAAAAAAAATAATCCTGTTGTAAATATAAGACATAATCACACTGTAACTGTTAAATACCAGAGGATTGTGTTACAAGGATGTATGACCAGGTGCGTTATCTGGGAATTGAGATGCAGAAAAAAGAAAAATTTTTTCCATCAGATCCTTCAAAATGAAATTGCTCTGACCACATTTGCAGCTCTTGTTGGTAAGTCAGAACTTGAATTCCACTCCCAAGGATTCTGAGAATGATGAGAGTGTGGGTTTTGGAAACAGCTTACTGTAAAACACTATGATTTCAAAGCTTAAACCCTAGTTACAGAAAGGCATGTGGGTCATTTGTGCACTTTGCACTTAGCTGTTTGCTTAGTAAGGGCATAAATATTTTAAGCAGTTCATTAGATAGAAATTAATTGATGCTCTATGCTTGCAAGGGCCAAAATAAGAACAGAACAGAATTTCTCTAGCACTGTTTGATTAATAGCACAGAAACATGAGCTAAACAATATAAAAGTACAAAAGTTTTAAAAAACAGTAGATGCAGTGTGTTATTATGCAGAGTGTTAAAGTGTTTAGTTTTCTCTCTCCACAGATTTTGTGCTGCCACACTCTTGGAGGGTCCTGCTCTTTCCTCCTCTCCCAGTTAACAGAGTTTGTGCCTCTGTAAATACCAGCTTCAATATGCCTCCTGGCTGCATGGGGAGGATGCAGGAGAGCAAACAGACTCTTAGTCCCTAATATATGATTAAAAAAGGACAAACAAGTGACATGAAGCAGGACAGACAACCAACGCACCACCCAATTCACAGCCTGTCAGCTCCCCTTCTGAGGAACAACTTCCCCCTCACATATCACACCCCAAGGGATTAATTAAATCCTATCAAGTCAAAATGTGTGCAGCTCCTTCCCACTTCTTTAGAAATGTAAAAAATAAAGCTAAAATGACCCAGACAAAGCCCAGAATAGCAGCATATCTGAGTTAACAGGGCTAAAGATGCCAGCTGTGGTTATCTGCTTGTGGCCAACCCATGGATACACTGATTTTCAGTCATTACAGGCCATCAGAGAGTGACAAACTGCTTGGAAGCCTCAGGAAAACTCCCTGAGGCATCCAAGTTTGTCAATTAAAGGTACACAATATGTTCAGATCATGTAAAGTATTTAAAAGAATGTCAACAATGCAATATTCGATACTGAGTGGATAAAAGTACATATATAGCAAGATAAAAAAGATGTATATATATATTAAAAATATGTATATAGAAAAGATACAGAAATCTAATGATTTATTCATCCTTTATAAGGATATAAAATGACCCAAATTTTGAGATTAACTTCACTGGATTAAAGTCTTCTTTCTCCCTGACCATCATCATCAAAAGTCTTTAAAAAGTTCTTATTTTAATAAAAAAATGAGAGGCAAATACCAGCTGTCCCTGAACAGCATCTGCCAATATTGTTACACACATTTCCCAACTAGAAAACAAGTTTATTAAATCCAACATTTGCAGTTAGTTGAGCACCCTTTAACAGCCCTGTGCCCATGGAAGCAGGAATGTCAGCCTCCTAAAAAGGCAGAGCTCAGACTCAGTGACACCTCGGCTACACTGAAACTTTGCAGTTCTCGTGGAAAAGGGATCTTTCCTTATGCTTTTGGACCTATTTGGGTAACAAAACAAATCACCCACAAATTTCTATCTTATCAAATTCTGACTGGGACATTTATCTGAATGTCTCTTGACCTACCACATACTTTCTACTGATGTTTCCTGAGCTTAAAAGTCAGTTCACTGCTTTTGGGGGGTAAGAGACACAGGCACAACCCTGAGAGGGTCAACATTTCAATCCCACACAATGACAACATCAGGTTCTTTGTACATTCTAGATGCATGTTGTGATAAGATACTAATCCAGTAGCATGACTTGAGACACCAATGGGAAACAGAAATGTGATTCTCTTTATTCTACACAACTTCCAACAGACTGATTTTTTTAGTAACTTACCCAACAGCACAAGAATGGTCAGAATGATTTGCCAATACATCTTGTTTTGTAGAGCTGATCTGAAAAACACACAGAAAATTAACTGAGAGCTGACAATTATCAGTCTATTATTTCATTAGGGTTTCATTTTGGTGCACTTCAGTCAATTTGATACTCACACCTTTGTAAACAGAATCACAGAATTCCAGAATGGTTTGGGTTGGAAGGGACCTTGAAGATCATCTCATTCCACCCCCTGCCATGGGCAGGGACACCTTCCACTGGATCAGAGAAAGGAAGAACAGGCCAGAAAGTCATTTGAGGAAAAAACTTTGCTTAGAATACTAATTAAATACCAATACAGCTCTTTCACCATTAGGGCCCTCACTCCTCCAGGCTTTTGCTGATTATTGTTCACCTTCTGGGTTTGGTCTGAAAGGCACTACAAACCCAAACAACCAAAATGTCCAAGGGATACCTAATTTTCAAAGTGCAGAATAGACAAAAGCACTTGGGCACCCATTTAAACATGAAGATTTCACTAAATTTTACAGTACTATTTCAATACTGTTCTTTCATTTCAGGTACTTCGTTCTTTTTTGTTTTCATCCAATAGTTATATAAATTCTGTTAAAATCTAAATATAAGCATTTTTATGCTTAAAGCTCCACAGAAGATATCAGAATAAAACAGAGTTTGGCTGCTGTTGTATTTAACCAGAACTGAGTGATGAGTAAAATCTACAGCTCAAGTCAGGGCAAGAAATTATATTGAGGGAATCCCTCCAAAGTATTCCATTCCTTAAATATTTCTGAGAAAAGTTTCCTTGAGAACATCAGTGTAGCCAAAAGAGTCAGTGCCAAGGTTATGTAATCCACTGGCCTTCCAGTTTGGGGCTGCATGAACTGTTTTATATATATATATAAGTATTATATATATATATATGCAGAAAACTGACCAGTGAAGTGACAATATTCCAGGATTCTTGTCTCCCCCTTGAAAATTCAGCTGGAGCCAGAGCTGAGCCATTTCTCCAGCACAGACCATCTGCACTGTGGTCTGCAAGATGACTCAGTCCCATCCACTTTTCTTCCCACTCACCAGGTTATAATCAGGGTACATTTAAGCTACATTTTCAGCAATTAAAGAGGAAAGCTTTAACCCCTGCTTCATAGGACAATTTGCCTCTCAACACAGCTGCCAGTTCCTTCCTGGAAAGTGTGGTCAGGCATTGGAAGGGGCTGCCAAGAGAGGTGGTGGAGTCCCCATCCCTGGAGGTGTCCAAGGAACAACTGGACATGGCACTCAGTGCTCTGGGCTGGGTGACAAGGTGAGGATCAGCCACAGGCTGGACTCAATGATATGGGAGGGCTTTTCCAACCTCAAGGATTCTGCCAGAAAAATGACTAGATAGAGTAATCAAAGAGATTCTGATGTCAGCACTAATTCAACCATAATTAACAATATTTGGACCAGGAGGTAAAAATAGAGTTCAGACCAGCTTGGACATCTTCTCTTCCTACTTCTGTCACATTGATTTTTACAAAGGAGTTATTTTCCTATCCTGGCTCCAACGACATCCATGAATCAGTGCTGTCCATGATCAAAAAGCCGCACATCCCCAGCATTTTTCTGTTCAAAGTTCAATCTTCCTTGTGTAAACTTTACAGGGGAATTAGGTAAAAAGAGATATCTACAGATAAATCCTAGGGCAGAATAAATGTATTATTGGACCACAGAGGGCTTCCCAAAATGATTTCCAGTGAGAATATTGAACTGGTCAGAATTTTTAACTTCACTCTAAGAAAAAATACAAGTTTCACAAGAACAGTTATAGGGAACAGGGAGCTAAATAAGGAGACGTATTAAAAGTTGTAACTATAGCTTTATCCCAGAGCGAGTAAGTTAACACAGCAAGGACAAACCACTTTATGCATAACTGGGAAAGTGTTCATAAAAAGGAAGGAATCAGAGTGTGTTTTAACACATATATCTTAAAATACTGTGTTCCAGAACCACTGACTTTGCTGTTGTGTATAAGAAAATTTCCAATTTCTTATGTAAATAGTGTGTTCTTCTCTGTGCCAACCACTGCACAAAACATTTCAGCAAGTAGAGTCCCTGCCTTGACAAAAACACTGGATTAAAATCAAAACCCAGGCAAGGAGAACAGCAACGAAATAAGATCATTTTTCTTTACAGGTCAAGTGA